CATGCTTAGCTAGAACCAAAGCTCTGAGTGTTACTAAGTGAGAATAAGTCAGAAAAGCGGTTGTACCCAGCCCTGACTGACCACTGGCAGTCTGACATAGGACCTGACACATTCCTGGGAGGGTCCCAAAGACTGTAGCCCCCATGTCCAGGTTTAGTCATGTTCCTTACCGCCACACCCCTGCACACATGACCACGGTCTACACTGCTCTGAGGACAAGGGTCTGCTCTTTCATTCTTTTGACACAAGGCCTACTTTCTGAAGGTTTTTCCTAGTTCCCACTACAGACCCAATTACCCAGTACCTGCTACTTAGGAAGTTACCAGTACATAATCTTGCCCAACTTTAAAAAAAGTTCCTTCCTTTCATGGGGTCTTTGTTTCTCCTCTCTTATATATCTATCCCCCCCCACCCTCCCCACTTCCCCAAGACAGGGTTTCTCTGGACAGCCTTGGGTGTCCTGGAACTGGCTCTGTAGGCCAGGCTGGCCTCAAACTCACAGAGCTCTGCCTGCCCATGTCTCCTGGGTGCTAGGATTAATACCTCTATTTTTGATGTTCTAAATGTTTCTCTCTGATCCCCACACAATCTGAAGAAGCTGCTGAGATCATGATGGGATGAGAGCTGTGCTTATCAGATGTATTCTAGTGCAGGGGCTGGGTCCCAGCACAGTGAGAATCTTGGCTACTCAGTATCACCAGGCTTGTACAGGGAGCTCTCTCCAAGGATGGACATGCCTGCAGTTGGCACATGTAACAGGTACAGAAGAGCGTACTGCAGGACGTATGACTTGGGCTAAGTCTGGGAATACAAGGACTCAGCATGCAGTGCTAGTCTCTTTAAGACAGCCGCGCATTATTTTATCAACACAACCCTTACAACCACAGCTAATGGTGTGGGCAATGCCAGGAGCTGTTCCAAACCTCCACACTTCCTTTCTCACAATGTTTCCCTGGAACACACTCTTAGAGCTTAAGCTACAACAGGAAGAGCCACTCACTGGCTTTCAACCCCTTTCTTGGCCTCACTGAACTAGAACTTCAGCCCTTGGCTCCATTCAGCCTTGGGTTAACTAGAGAACCGTGTTCTTTACTTTGGAGGGTAAGGAACCTTTGCTTTATGGTTGCCTGGATCATATGGCCTGATCTGTATTCCTTCTTCGACGTCAACAGGCTGAAGACCACAGGCAATCTGGCACAGCCCCAGTCCTGACTCTGGCTCCAAACAAGCCAGCACTAGGTAAGAAGGCTGGGTACTCAGTTCTACTTCCTGCTGGCTGACCCTCAGGACAGAAATGGCATACAGTATGCTGAGTGTGCTAATCTGACCTGTGAAATGAGAAAAGGACAGACAAGGAATTCTTTCTGGGGACACCAAAATGGTAACCTCAGAGTATTCACACGATCATGTGGCCTCTCAGCGCAGTAAGTCCAGTTGGGCACAGACAGACTAAAATCCCAAAGAAGTTTAATAAGAATAGGGCAAAGTGAGTTGGGGAGCAGTGAAAATAGTTGGATTGGACAGCACTTGTCCAGTATTTGTAAGGTCCTGTATTCAATTCCCAGGACAAAGAAGAGAAGCCAAGGATCTCCAGAGAGAAGGCTTAGTGGACCTTTCTGACAGGGCTGACAGTGAAAAACACACTCATACACTGTCCCCAGCTGGTCTGTGCAGGATCTTCAGTCCACATGAAGACAACAGGGTTCCTGGGATTTCCTTCTCAGGATGCCAGCCACCAGTGCTAGTTACCAGCTCTTTTCATCAAGCCTTTAAACTCAAGCTACCAAGTAGTCAGTGCCACACGTATAGGAGGCATTTCAGCCAAGTTACACAGGGGACTTTACAGGGTGATCTGCTTATTTTTAGGTCCTTTCCCCTCCAGGGTTTCTCTGTGTAGTCCTGGCAGTCCTAGAACTCATTGTGTAAATGAGGCTGGCCTCGACCTCACAGAGACCCCCCTGCCTCTGCCTCCTGAGTGCTGGAATTAATTAAAGGCATGTGCCACCACTGCCGAAACTTATATGTTCTTAAGAAAGGATGAATGTGCTGGGCAGCGGTGGCACAAACCTTTAATTAATTCCAGCACTCGGGAGGCAGAGGCAGGCGGATCTCTGTGAGTTCGAGGCCAACATCGTCTACAGAGCGAGTTCCAGGACAGGATCCAAAGCTACACAGAGAAACCTTGTCTCCAAAAACCAAAAAAGAAAAAAATAAATAAAAGAAAGAAAGAAAGCATAAATGTAAGGTATAACAACAGATCCAGAGACAAGTAAACACCCTTGGCTGCTACTCCATGAAGCCTAGACAAATGGCAAGTGCAATGCTATGTAGGCAACAAACACGTGGAACTCATTAGACAGGGATTCTAAGCTATTTTAGGCCACTTAAGTCTTCTGACAATGCTGAAACCATGCATGTTTTTAATCCAACTCAAAACGGACCAAACCCCACCCTTAACTGAAATGTAGATAGAATACTATTAGTTACACATGTGCTCCCCACTCATGTAGCTGTGCCCAGCAGCTAGAGCACCCCAATTCTACAGAGCAGGTAGTGACACACACCAGCTGCTCTGACCCAGGTCTGTCCTTATAGAGGTGTGGGCCCATTAGGCTCTCCATTTTACAAAGTAGGATGCCGAGATTCACAGGATAAAGTTGGCTGCTCACAAACATATACCTAGCAAATAACAGAGTTGGGGCCCAGCCCGTGAGGCTTAGAAATCTTTGCCTCTCCAGGCTGGAGAAATGGTTCAGTTAAGAGCACTGGCTGCTTTTCCTGAAGACCTGGGTTGGACTCTCAGCACCCACATGACAGCTCACAACTGTCTGTAACTCCAGTACCAGGGGCTCTGATGCCGCTTTTGGCCTGTGTGGAACCAGGCATGCATGTGGCATACTGATACACATGCAGACAAAACATGTACACATATTAAAAAAAAAAAAAAAATCTCTGCCTCTTTCATTTGGCCATATGACTCTTGTCTAAGAGTGATGAATGACTAGCAGGTCTGGGTCATGGTCCCAAACCCCACCAGATTCAGCTCAGAAAGCAATGTGAAGGGTCTATAGCCATCCTCACGTATGGTGAACCCCTGGCCAGCAAGCCGCTACAGCACATTATGGAGAAATGAGAAAAGGGCTGGAGGGGAATTCCCATGCGTGACTAGGCCCCTTCCCTCTCCCACGCTGGTCTTCAGTACCTGATCTAGGATGTAGTTGCGTTTCTTTCGGGCAGCAATCTGAATGAGGCGGTTGAGGCACTGAGTGGCCTGCTGGATCAGGACATCCCAGCGGCCAGCATAGTTCCGCTGTCGACGCAGGCCCATCACCTGTGGGCAAGAGGCAATGAAAGGCAAGTGAGCCTAGGTACTGGACAGCATCCAAAAGCTGGGAGATGAGTAAAGTGATCCACAGGCCACCCTTACCCGCATCTTATCCATGATGGCATTGGTACCCAGAATGTTGTACTTCTTAGAAGGGTTGGAGGCTGCGTGCTTGATGGCCCATGTGGTCTTGCCGGCAGCAGGCAGGCCCACCATCATCAGAATCTACAAGAACAGGACAGGGAAGGGGTGCTGTGAGACAGCAGCACATGTGGCATGGCGGTATAGTGCCACCCTGGCTGGACGGTGCCCATGGTGATGACTCTGACCTCCTGGTTGCCTCTGGAAAATGGAAGCAATAGCATCTATCTCAGTGCTGCTGTTGGGAGTCAAAGACTAAGGTCTGTCACAGGTAAGCATCAAGTCACATCCCACCAACGGCAGTTATGGAATGACGACTTTGGCAGGAGAAAACCGTGACCTTGCACCACGGACTATTGTAGTCTCAAGACTCTGAGAATGGGAATTGAGTTGTGCCCTAGGTCATGAACTCCATTTATCATCACATTTAGATTCCAACAAAGACTACATGTAACCTAAATGCAGAACAAGGGGAATGATTCCTTTGCGAGGCCACTGAATGGTGAGTCAGGTGTGGTGATGCACACCTATAGGCCCAGCTACCGGGGAGGTTGAGGCAGGAAGATGACAGGAGTCCATGGAGTCTGAGGCCAACTCGGGTAACATAGCAAGACAGTCTCAAAACAAGTTGTATAAAGGGATTTTTGTGCAGTGGGACACAGACCATAAAGTATGTAAAAGAACAGGACAGCAAATTGCTTGTCATGTTAAATGGAAAACATCAAAAACAGGATAAACTCCAAAATCTTGGTAGAATTATGTATGGGAAACCTAAGATTTCTATATATTGCTAAATTTTCTAAAACAAATAAAAATGGTTCATGAGAAGTATATATATCTTTTTTTTTTTTTGGTAAATGTACATTGGTGTTTTGCCTGCATGAGCGTGTCAGGTATCCCGGAACTGGAGTTACAGACTACTGTGAGTTGCCATGTGGTTGCTGGGAATTGAATCTGGGTTCTCTGCAAGAACAGTCAGTGCTCTTAACCGCTAAGCCATCTCTCCAGCCCTGAGAAATATATATCTTAAGAAATAAAAGTCACAACTACATCATCTGGGAGGCTAGGGTAGGACTGCAATGAATTCAAGGCAAGCCAAGTGCTATATAGACCCTGGTTCATTAAAAAGAAACAGAAACAAAAGGTCATTGGCATAGCTACCTGAGCCACTTGTGCTCTTAGCCCTGAGTGGGAGGGTGGAATTGCTAAGCCTCTCCAAGAACACTGGGCAGCAGAGTGCACAGTTATGCTGTTCTGCTCTGAGGAAGCCTCTTTTCAGATTCAGGCCTTGTTGAAGAGTAGTGAAGTCATTTCCCTTTGGGATGTCACCCTCAGAACTGTTTTTCAACTCCAATCTCAACCCCAAGGAACTGGGACAAGGAAGCCCAAGTTTACTTAAATTTCTGTCCCCTTCCACAAGCTACTTAGTGCCCCTCCTCTGCCTTGGGTGGCTCTGGTCCCACTCACCTCACACTCTGCTTTGCTCTTTGGTCCAATGGTGCCCCGGATCCGCTCACTGAGGGGAAGGTGCTGGATGAATGTGAACCCTGGGAGAATAGAGCAGTAGGGCTCTGCCCTCTGCCCAAAGTTAAATTCCACAGCACAGTTCTTCACCAGGACATGAGGGTAGAGGGCCTGACCCCCTAAGGCTTCTTTCTGGATTCGGAAGGCAATGCCCATCCACTTGCCATTCTTAGTAAAAGAAAGCTCCACATCATTTCCACATTCAAAGTCCTAGGAGAGAAATCCAAGGGTAAGTCAGTGGGATGGTGGACATCTGTAACCCCAGTATCTGGAAGGCTGAGGCAGGAGGAGCATCATTTTAGACCAGTCTGGGCTATATGAGGTCTTATCTTTGTTATTATTGTTGTTGTTGTTGTTGTTATTATTATTATTATTATTATTTTGGTTTTTCAAGACAGGGTTTCTCTGTGGCTTTGGAAGCTGTTCTGGAACTAGCTCTTGTAGACCAGGCTGGTCTCAAACTCACAGAGATCCATCTGAAGATTTATTTATTTATTTGTTTGTTTGTTTGTTTGTTTATTATGCATGAGGTCTTATCTTAAGAACAAAAGCACAAAGGCTAGGATACCAACTGTAACTCTTAGCTTAAGACACCAGCACTCACAAATGGGAGAGTCAACGCAGGGAGTAAACAGCCATTTTTCTGGACCCTGGTGCAGTCTTTCGTGGTATACACACAAGTCAGGCCGCACAGGTAAAGTTCAGACATACTTTACCCAAACCCTCTCCTTACCAAAGATCTTGAAGCTGGTAACATATCTGAGATGTGGATGAAGGCAGAGGTTGCCTTGCCCTGTCCACAAACTGACAGGGCAGTCTACACAGAGAGACGAAAGAAGCCAGAGCAGGAGCTTTAGCAGCTGAGCCCAGCTAAAGATGTAGCCTTCTGTTTGTTCAACACACACTCCAGGGGCTCTCAAACTCTTCCTGGGACATGTCTGTGCTGATCTGGATCCCATGCAATTCAGGGGGCACCAGGGAATCAAACAAGGAGTCTCAGTATTATAACCGTCGTGGAGAGAACTTATGTTAGGTCTTGACCAGTAGATGGAAATGAGCTCTGTGCACAAGCCGTGCAAGTAAAGGAATACAGGCCAGGTAGCCTGACACATAAAAGGCATCATTCAACTGTTTACTGAGTTGCTGAAGTTTAGTGGATCCTATTTTGTGACCTTAAGCAAACTATTTTATCTTGTTATTTTATCTATGGGGGGGTATCTGTGATATAATACACAGTGTCATCATAAGAATATGATAGGTAAACGCATTTCACACAAGGGATGCATGTTGAATCCGAGCTCTCACTATAAGCTGCCAGGCATTGCTGGTGTTAGAGGTTAGGGCTGTACTTGTAGGTGAGGAGCCTCGGCTCCCCCTTAGGGTATGAAAGGCTCTCCAATTTACCTCTAGAGTTTAGAACCACTGCTGATGGTGGAGCAGAGCACTGACTGGCCAAAAGGTCACTGTGGGTGCTGGAGAGCACCCACAGTGACAGTTAGGATGAGATAGCTGAGCGAAGCCAAGTACAAGTTCTAGCTTCTGACAAGACGGTACAAGATGAGATTAGGATTCCACCTTGAGCTTTCCATCAAGTACCAGTGGAGGAGTATCCATTCCTGAGGAGCTTTCTGGTTCTCTATCAGCATCCTCCATGCCTGCTAATTCCTCACCACACCGTAGGTCATGTCCATGCCAGGCACACAGGTCAACACAAGCCCAAGGGACTCCTGCCTGAAGTACAGTCACCTTTGCTCTAGCATGGACATGAAGAATGTGGGTGTCACCCGCCTTGGGCACCACCTTTATTAGAACTATCACAGTGCAAAGAAAGCAGCACCCACAGCTAACAGGTCTGCCCACACAGCCACCTGTCCAAGGCAGGGTTGTTGATAGCACTGCTGAGGACACACCTCTGTGCTGCCCTATGGCTGCAGCGACTCTACTTCCTACTCCTGAAATGCACCATCCGTTCCTTCTCCATTTGGAAGGCTGCTTGGTCCTTTCTCTTTGTCAAGAGATCTGGCACAAACTTATCCCGTTTCTCCAGATCCTGATTTTTATACCCCCTTCAATGCCCCGCAACAAACTCTCTTTCAAGTTATGACATCCTCTAATAAAAAGGAATTGTATGTGGAGCCTGCCTTTAAACAGAGTTGGATTTTATTAAGAATTGAGTATAAATGTTAGGGAGACAAAGATGCTTAAGAAAAGAGTGGGTGTGAACTTTTCAAGCTATGGCCCCTTGCTGGTACAGTGGCTCACACCTGCAATCCCAGCACTTGGGAAGTAGGAGGAGGAACTCGAATTCAAGTGATTTTGAGATCCTGTTTCAAAAACCAACTAGGTGCTGTGGTACAAGCCTTTCATCTCAGCACGCGGAAGGCAGAGGCTGGGGGAGTTCTGTGAGGCCAGCCTGCTCCTCAGAATGAGCTCCAGGAGCCAGTGAGACCCTGTCACCCCCCCCCCCAAAAAAGGTACTCATTGCTGTTCCTGCAGAAAACGACCCGGGCAACGTAGGTTCAGTTCCCTGTACCTATTGGCAGCTACAAACTCTAACTCTATAGCTCCAGAGGATCCGATGCCCTCTTCTGGCCCCCACAGGCAACACACGTACACGGTGTCCAGACATACATGTAGGCAAAACCTCCACATACACAAAGTAAATAAATCTGGGCCCGGAAAGATGGCTCAGTGGTTAAGAGCACCTCCTGCTCTTGCAAAGAACAAAGGTTCTCCCAGCACCCACCCAGCGCTTACAAATACCTGTGGCTCCAATTCTAGGTGAGCCTGTTCTAGCCTCCAGGGATACCAGGCACATATGCAGTCCACATACATACATTCATGCACAACAGCCATACGCAAAATATTAACAATAATAATTAAGCTAAAAGCAGCAAAAACTCCCCTTAAATCTTTACAGTAGGTAGGATGATCTGTCCAACACAGGATAAAAGCCTGGAGTTCCGTCCCGCCATATGCCCACAGAACATCATGCTGATGATACAAGGGTTTGGCAAACATGGTCACAACTTCTTGGAAGTGCTGTCCTAGTGGCAGCTGGCCATCAATATTTGAAACTACAGGGCTGATGAGCTGGTAAGTAAGTGCTTAGTTAGCAATGAAGCTTGACAACCCAAGTTTGGACACCCAGGCCCCAGGTGGGGAGGGGACAGGAAGAGCCCTAGAACGTGCCTGACAGCTAGCTTGGCCAGAATGATGAGCTCCAGGTTCAATGAGACTGATCCTGTTTCAAAAAAGTAAGGTGGGGTGGCAGGTTTGGTGTCATATGCAGTCAAAGGCAGAGGAATCTCTCTTATTTGAGGCCAACCTGGACTACACAGTGAAATCTCGTCTTAAAATGTGCACATGCATACATGTACCCTCCACTAGACACACTTATAAGCAGAAGTCAACTTGGGAAGAAACACTATATATCTCCCCCATAAGAATGCACAGACGTATGCGAAAGTGCTCATGTGAGCACAGCCAAAGCTGCTCGGGAGGGGAAGAGGGAGCCGTGCAGGGTCCACATGGAGGGCCACAGAATGTCTCTGAGGAACCCTGGCAAGTGGCAAAACAGTAAGCATTTCCTTTGGCAGTATCTCTACCTCTCTCTACCAGTAGACAACTATCAGGAAGCACCAGGAAGATCAGCCTCCAGAGGAGGGAGCTCTAGCGCCTCCATCACGCCGTAAGGAGAAAGGCTAAATCAATCACGGCCATGAAAATATCAGCCCCAATTAAAAACCAAACAGGGCCTTTAGGTTTCTGCAGTCCTAGAAAAAAGATCTCAAGGTACATGGGTAAGCAAAAGCTAGAACAAACATGCTGCCTTTGTGTTAAAGAAGCAAAACAAGTAGCCCCTCTCTTGTATCCAGACTCCCCCCAGAAGAGGTGGCTCCTGTGTGCAGCTGGGACTTATGAAACAATGGGTGGGGGCAAGAGCTAGGCATCCTTTTACAGTCTTTGTTCCTCTCTCTAACTCACTCGACTTCATTTAAAAATGCTCCTGAGTTAGCTCCGTATCATTTGCGTGGGCACTGGAAAATTGTCAGGATAAGTGAAAAAACTGCATTCAGGACTATAGAATATAATCGTCATTAATTTTTGTCTAAAAAAAGTTGTCTTACTAGAAAAGCACAGTATGGTGGTTGTATGCTTTTAATCCCAGCACTGGGATGCAGAGGCAGGTAAAATATTCCCTGCCCTCAAAATAGACAGACAGACAAACAAATAAATAAAGGTCATGAATGAGTTCCAAGAAAGCCTGTCTCTCTCTCTCATACACAAAGGTCATATAATACATAGGAAGGCTGGGAATCGGTTTCAGACTAAAGGAACTAAGACAGGGCAGCAGAAAGCCACACGCCCTGGTCAGCACCCAAACTAAAAAGTCTTCAATTGCACTAAAGCAAGCCAATGAGACAACTGATTTAAAGGTAGGCTGATGGCAGTTACACCTTTAACAACAGTACATCAGTCTCCTGTCAGGCAAACGGCAGACTTAAATACACAGGACATGTTAAGGGTTAGGAGATATGCAGCCGACTCTACTGTCAATGGGTCAAATATAAAAAAGAAAGCACGGGTGTGCATACGCACACACACAAACACATACAGCAAAAGTGGTAAAAGGTTCTGAAAATACTTTCTCCCCCCAAGGCAGGGTTTCTCTGTGTAGCTTTGGAGCCTATCCTGGAACTCGCTCTTGTAGACCAGGTTGGTCTCGAACTCAGAGATCCGTCTGCCTTTGCCTCCTGAGTGCTGGGATTAAAGGCGTGCGCCACCAATGCCCTGCCTGAAAATTCTTTATTCTTTTTTTTAAAGTTTCTGTTTTGCTTTGGCAATGATGGAGTCCTTTTCCTTCGTGTTTTTACTTTCCTTTAAAAAATTTGTATTATGTTAGTGATGCATGCCTTTAATCCCAGCTCTCAGGAGGCAGAGGCAGGCAGATCTCTGTGAGTTTAAGGCCAGCCTGATCTACAGTGTAAGTTCCAGGACAGCCAGAGCTACACAGAGAAACCTTGTCTTGAGAAATACAAAAACCAAAAACTTTACTGACTTTTTTTTTTTGCAAGTCTCAAGTAGCCTAGGCTAATCTTAAACTTCCTATATAGCTGAGCATGACCCTGAATGTAGGGTCCTCGTGTCTCTACCTTCTGAGAGCTAGGATCAGAGGCATCACCGTGCCCAGTTTCAAGAGCTGATGACGCCTGAAGCCAGGCTCCGGGCACTCAACATGCACTCTATCAGCTGAGCTGCTTCCCCAAGGTCTCTAAGTTGAAATCATTTTCCAAGTCAAAAACAAAACAAAAAGCCTAAAAGACAAAAAAACAGAGGAACTTTCTTTCAAAAGGAGTTAGTTATGTGAACAAATAAGGGCAAAAGATAAGATCCAAGGACATATCCTCTGGGCAGTCCCTTCCTTTGGGGCCTCATGACATAGTTCCCAAGGGGGCTTGTAATTAGCAATGCCAACTGTATGAAGGGGTCCACTGAGCACTTACTATGTGCCACATTATTCTAAGTGCTTGCTGGGTTAAAACTCAACACAAGAGTTAGGTAAGTACAAAGATTCTCACTTGGAGACTAAAAGGGAAGTTGTCCAGGGCTGTGAACCTTAGAGCAAGAACTGAGCTCAGCAAGTCTGGCTCCAGAGCTGAAAGCTACCAGCCAATCAGTGATGGCTGCTCACCGCTCTCCAGAACTAAGGAAGCAGCACAGGCAGGCACCCCCTATCTTCTGCTCCTGCTCTGCCGGAGGGCAGCGCACGACAGGAAGTCGGCTCAAGTGAGGTCGGTTCAAAACACAGTTGGGAAGATAAGGTGATGCCATGGGGGGGGGGGGCAAAAGCCAACAAATGCCTTTGAAAGCAGACTGGCTATTTCCCAACAGAGAAATTCTCTAGTTTGACTGGAAAATGTCACTGGGGTAACCATAGACAGAGGGATCTGTGGACACTCGAAATCCTCAAATCTAAGGGACCACAGTCAGCTCTGCATAAAGACAAGAAGGGAAAGGATGGCAGAATCTCACACAGATCAGTAATCCCTACTCTGGAGGAGACACTATCAAACCATCAGAGACAATAGCATGGAGAGAGTGGCCGGATAAGCACAGACAACGATACAGGTACCCTGAAAACATCTACATCAGGCACCTGGCCCTGCCAATTCCCACAGGCTGCCAGCACTCACCGCAAAGCAGCCAATCACATCGTTCTCTGCAAATTTGTCTCCGTAGTTTTCAAAGCGGCTATTGGTAGACTTCTTCCCTGTGCCTCCATAACCATAGGAAACAGGCTCTTCACCTGAAGGAAGGCACAGGCAGGTTAAATCTCTGATGGATACAACACCTTCACAGCTGCCACAGTCATTGTCGTTACTATTTTCAGACAGTCTCACAGTGTAGCCCTGGCTGTCCTGGAACTCACTCTGTAGACCGGGCTGGCCTCAAACTCACAAGTCCACCTGCCTCTGCCTCCCAAGTGCTGGGACTAAAGGTGTATGACACCATGTCTGGCCACTACCACCATTTCAAAACTGAGACAAACATAAAATGAGATGACCTTTTTTTCTCTTGAATAGGTACTGCAGAATGCCCAGGCTGGCCACACATTCTCAGTCCTCCTGGACAGCCAGGACTTAGTTTGTCTCTGCACCTGGCTCTGACCTATCTTTGTTGTTTCTGAGATTGGGTCTCATGTAGGCCCAGCTAGCCTCAAACTCATTATGGAGCCAGGTCTGTCCTCAAACTCCGATCCTTCTGCCTCCACAATCCAAAAGCTGGGATTCCAAATGTGTGTCACTATACTCTTGAACTGATTCTTCTTCTGTTACACTTTTAAACATTATTTTTACCTATGTGTACGTGTGTGTGTGCCTGCCTGAATTTATGTGCACCATGTGGGTCAGGTGCCTGGCGGTGCTGTTACAGGTAGTTGTGAGCTGCCTGATACAGGGGCTGGAAACCAAACCTAGGTCCTCCGTAAGAGCAACAAGCACCACCCCT